GGGGCCGCCGTGTCTCTGGGCGTGCGGGCTTGTGCTGGGCACCTCCGCGCGGATCCTGCTGCGGCCGCCGCCGGCCATCGGCGCTCCCTATTTCTGCCGCAGGCCCAGGCCAAAAGTCCCCCCAAAACATTGAGGAGTCCTGAAAAGCCCAGGGAGGGAGCTTGCCACCCCCAAAGGGGTACAGTGCTTTTTTTCCTGCTTGCTACCTGCTCCTCAAGATCCCTAGCAGGGCTCTTTTGGTTACAAGAGCAGCTCTCGGGATCTTTCTACTCAGTAGTTCACCCCTGTAGAGCTGACTACAGCTTCCAACAACCACCGGGGCTTGCTTTCAATTTCAGATTGTTTAGGATGGTCCCGGATGAAATTTGTCTTAAAAGCAGCCTCAGTGAACTTTGGGAGTTGTAGTCAATTCTGTTCATAGCACTTTTCTCTCTGGGAGGAGACTCTGTTGGGGGCAGGACTGTCTGGTTCTTCAGTTTTGGTTTTGTTGACTTTCTCCCCCCCCCAACAACCACCGGGGCTTGCTTTCAATTTCAGATTGTTTAGGATGGTCCCGGATGAAATTTGTCTTAAAAGCAGCCTCAGTGAACTTTGGGAGTTGTAGTCAATTCTGTTCATAGCACTTTTCTCTCTGGGAGGAGACTCTGTTGGGGGCAGGACTGTCTGGTTCTTCAGTTTTGGTTTTGTTGACTTTCTCCCCCCGCCACAGGAGGGAGGCTGAGGCAGAGTAAGGCAGGGTAAAACTATATTCTCATGTTTGCTAAGACTGTGTTTCCTCAGTTTCTCATTATGGTTTAATTTCGAGCAAGGCTTTAATAGTGATTGAGCAAAAGTATTTCTTAAGGAAACCTATGCTATTGGCTCCTGGATTCTGCAGAAAGAAATGATGAATTGTACAGCTTTTCTCTTTAGACTTTGTTTCTATGGGGCTTGCTTTCCTCCCTCCTACAGAAAATTCACTTACACCATGTTCATCTGTATGCAACTGCCCCAGCACCTCAGTCCAAGGATGTTTTTGGCTGGGACAATTGACAGCTGATGCAGTTTTCTAGCAGGGCTGGCTCCTGCTTTGCGTCAGACCCAGGGCCCTGGAGAACTGCTGATTATTCGTAATTGTGGGAATGCAAACTTCCCTCTGGCCATCTGCCTCTGGGACTTAGCCTTTTGTGGGGGATATGCCCCAATAGCCCAGTTAGCAGGACTTGTCCATACTTGCCTCTTTTCCTGGTAGTGTCAGTTAATGCTAGTGATGCTTTTTGTAATGCGAGCACCTGCTCTCCAAAGACCAGGCAGAGACGTGGTACCTCATGCCATGCTGCCTGCCAGCACCTGTCCCACAGTGGTAACTGTTGGCTTCTATCTGTGATTTCTTTTGCACTGCTGACCCAGAGGTGACGCCTTCTTTATCTCATAGCAATTCCCCCAGGCATCAGTTTTGCCAGACCTTTTGTCCTTGCAATCAACGGATGCTTATGTTGCTGGAAAGCGGGACTCACCATAAGGTGAGATTATTTGAACAGTATTGGCCCTTTTAAAAGAATCCCCTTGGCCTGACGCGGGAACCGTGCTTTTACAGATTTGATCATTGCTATTTAAACAGAGGAAGGCGTTTAATATTTAAACTAATTGTGAGCACCTTCTGCTGGAAGTGCCTACTACAGCAAACCAAGCCTTCTGGTGTGATTAATGAAATCCATTGTGGCATTAATTTTCATCTCTAATGCTTCTTTTGGTGTATGAAACAAAAAGCTTATACTGAGATGGTTTTAATCCCCCATACAAAGCCTGAAACAGAACCCATAGCTGCGGCTGTTAAAATAGGGAGGGGGGGAAAAAAAGCTATTGCCTGGATGGAGGAAAAAAAAGCACATAAATCAGTGTTACATATTGTAGATATGCCACCAACTCAGTCAGGCATCTATACAAGCTTAATGCTCGCTTGGGGTCTATTAACTGCAAAACGTAAGTGTTACCTGGAGTAACCTTGGATTAAAGCTTTGTTCACAGCATGACCTGTTATTAATTTCCACTTAAAAAAATTCCATTGTCCTGGGAATCTAATTATTGGTTTGACTTTTTAGAAATATACTAGGTTACTGTTTTTTAAAACTCCTTTGTAGGTTATTTCTTTATCTTGTATCTTATCTTGTATGTGTTATCCCAATCAAATAACCATGAAAAACTGTTAAGAATACAACAGTACAGTTTCTTTACAGTTACATGGTGGCATTAACCATTAGGGTCCTCAAGTGTATTTCAGCTGAGAGCTGGAACAGTTGCTGTCCATAGGTGGACATCGGAGAACCTTGGCCTAGAAAAAAGAAGAATTAGTTAAGCAAAACAAGTCAAACACAAGGATTTTTTTTTTTTTTTGATTGCGCTGCTCAAGCCTGATGCGAGACTTCACTACTTGGGCACTAAGAACTGCAAACAGTGGGTAGTTCTTGTGGAGATATAGATCAAGCATTTCAGGAGCTGACGCTCAGAAGGTTCCCGTATGTACAGTGCAAATTATCTTTCAGCATGGAAATCACCACAGGGATGACCCCTTCTGAAAATACAAAAAGGCCAGCCTGATCCAGGCACACAGAGAACTGAGAGCAAGTGGCTGATGCAAGTGATGTCATCACATAACAGAAAAATGTCACCTTGTCCAGGACTTATGAAGGCCTTCTCTGTGGTATTAGGAGATGAGGGTGAAAATAAAACATTGGTACAAGAGAGTGGTGTAAGATTGCCTATAAGAGGAGCAATCATTCTTTTCTTGCTCAGCTGAAAAACTGACAGGGCTGTAAAAGAAAAGCCAGTAGCAAAACATTCTATCCTGTATGGGGAAAAAGGACAGCGCCGACTTCATTGCTGAGTAATTTCCCCTTCTTTGCTTTTCCCCATCCCACAATTACCCAATTCAGTAGATGAGCCACAGGGATGGTTGGAGAACTTCACCCAAGGAGCCATTCAGGGAAATCTGTCAGTGTAATTCACTCTGCTAAACAGGTTCCTAAAGGAGCAAGATACTGAAACAGTCAATCCAGCTTAAGCTATGGATATGGCAATGTGTATTGTCCTCCCCAGAGGGTCAAGGAGAGGTGAAGTTGCACAGGCTCTTCAAGCCCAGTGTCAAGTATATCATTAAAACCAATGCTTTGAATTCAGTATTCTGCCTTCCAGGGATTTCACTGGTTGGTCTCTTCACAAAGGAAGTGTGGCAGAGGGTCTGGACCTTTGGTGGTTACACCAACAAGTACAGCAGTATGTAGGACTGTATGAGTTAAGCAGGACAAAACATTTTTCACACATCAGAAAAGCCACAAATCCAATAAATGTCTAAGTGCTTCAATCAATACTTTCACCTCAGCTGTGAGGGCAGCAATCAGATAACAAGCACTGCAAAGGATCATCCTTTTTTATTCAGAGTAAAGGGGGGGAAAAGATGTGTTGCGGGAAAGCCACAGCCAGACCTGTAAAAGTAGATTATTGTCCTGTGCTTTTAAAGCTGACTGTGGTGAGAGAGGAATTCCCATCAGCATCCTTAATCTTTCTGTCAGTGGGCTGACAGTCTTCCAGGGGAGGCAGCACAAGCTATCAGGTTTCTTTTGCCATGCATGTGCACGCACTCTCTCATCTTTTTGAATGATTAATTGCTTTAGTTTTCTCTTTGCTTTACTGCACTTTATATCTGATAAATGTTTTGGTTAATCTGGTTGTTTGTGTACCTCCATGCTGAGATGTTTCAGTGTACCACAGCCTCCTGCTGCAAGATGAGCGGCAGGAAGAGGTGCAGGCAGCCTAAGAGAGTTTCCTCAGATGAATAATTAAAGGACATATATGTCTTGCTTTCGAAGCAGGCCAGACCTGCAAAGCCAGAGATAAGACTCAGGTGTGGCCTTTTTGTCTCTTTGCTTCTGTAATGTCCAAAGCTATCCAGTATGTGTGTGCCCAGGTTTTCCCTGGTGCTGGGTAGAGGAAATACAAGATGGGGAAGTGTATTTGCAGAGGTTGGTAAGGGAGAAGAGAACAGAAATTTCTGGTTCAACAGAAGGGAGCGTTAGCCAAGAAACATGGAGTAAAATAAAAGACCGTACTAATTCTTCCCAAGGCTCAAGATCCCCACAGAGTTCCCAGCAAGTTTGTTGTTTTCCAGGGTTATCAATATTATGTTAATTAGAGCAGAAAAAGCACTTATCCACCAAGGTGACTCATAACATTGAAGACAGGGGAAAAGTCCCTTGACTACTAAGGGTTTACAGCATGGCCTGGGTGACTCAGGACTGCCTAAGGACAGAGCTGACACCATACTGTGCTCACCCTACTGCCTGCATGTAAGGAACAAGGGATGCAAAGGGAAAAGAATAGGGTAATAGTTTTGACTTGTTTTATGGTACGTATGAGTAACGTGCTGAGACGTCTATGTGTTAGAGACATAAATAGTTTGTCCTACAGTTTTTAGTCACTTTGAGGTGTGAAGTTTGGAAGCGTGCCATAATGGTCTCTCCAGTTGACAGTGCTGGGAACAAGCAGAACTACTCTAGAGCTAGTGGAGTTGCATGGCCAATATTTCAGGCCAGCCTGATTTGTTAGGGGTACTGCACTGCCAATTTGACTTTGTTTCACACCTGGCCCTGACCAGCCGTATGACATACATGCTACTCCTTCTTGACTTGCCGTGCTCCAGGTAGACTCCAGACACAGACAGGGTCCAGGCTGGCTCCTTCTTACTAGGACAATCCTCCAACACTTATCCCAGGAGGGCTCCCATCCTCACATGATCTTACACCAGCTGCAGGGATTGCCACTGCATAACTTCAGCATCATGTTAGAGGCATATGCTACTCAGCGTGGCTGCAGCACTGTTTCTCATTGCTTCGAGCTTTCTCAGCTGGAGAAGTGGCAAAGAAACAAAAAGTGCCCTGGGGAACATGGTGAGCACAATGGGGCCCAGAGCAGGCCTGGGACACAGCTGTGCACGGTGGGCACCACAGGCCCACTTGAAAGGTGTTAGGCCTGAGTACTTGCACACAAACCTGGCCCTGGGCTTGCTGCTCCTGCAGTCCACAGAAGGAATAAGGATGTGATGA